GCCTCCCAAGTAGCTGGGACTACAGACGTGCACCACCATGCCCGGCTAATTTTTTCTATATATTTTTAGTTGTCTAATTAATTTCTTTCTATTTTTAGTAGAGATGGGGTCTCGTTCTTGCTCAGGCTGGTTTCGAACTCCTAAGCTCAAACAATCTGCCCACCTCGGCTTCCCAGAGTGCTAGGATTACAGGCGTGAGCCACCACGCCCGGCCTTGATTAGTATTTTTACATAGTTATATATTGAGGTCTTGTTTAAATTTCTGTTTAGGAATAGAAAAATCCATAGAAAACTACTTTTGACTTATTTTATTCCACTAAAAATCAACTGTAAATTTGGTTTTAGTAAAACATATTGGTCAAAAATCCATTCAATAGAAGGAAAAAGTAGTACTTGGAGTTTACACAATTAATCACTGACTTGACAATTTCGTAGCATGGCTCAAAGGCGTTACGGGGACAGAAAAGAAAAGCGAGAAGTATATAAAAATTTATGTGGAATCATTACAAAGCAGTTCAAGAGTTACGTACATCTTAGTAAAAGATCTTGCTACACAGGACTTCCTCCCACCGCCATTTCACATAACTCCCTTAAAGAGTTCAGACTTTCTCAGACCTGCTTTTACAGCCATTTTAGTCCTGGGTTAATGAAATGCTCATCTCATTTCACTCTTAGGCTCTTGATAGAGAGTTTAAGTGGTTTATCCTCCAGCTGGATAAGTTAGAAATTGATTTACATCACTTCCATTCTCTTACTCTGCTAGAGAAAACAAAGTACCCTGAATATCAACAGTTGGATACTATAACATCCCTTGGTAACGGAAAGACTGTATGCCAAGCCCAGAACTCAGCTGAAATTGTGCATGTAAGTAACTCACGTATCTCGGAAAGTGATGTGAAGTTGTAGTTTTGCCCTCTTTTAGATAAGCTTGAATCTTTTAATAGCTCCTATTCTGGCTTTATTTTCCAAATATGTAGTTGTTGCAAGAATGGTACAGAGAAGTCCCCTGTATGTAGAGACCTCCATTCGGATTTGGGCAGTTCCAGTAGAGTCTCCTTTGGTTTGACGGTTCCTCAGTTTTTCCTTGACTTTTCCAATCTTGACATTTCTGAAGATTTGGTAATATGAATGCCATTGGTGATTGTAACAAGGGTAGGGAGGGCAGAGGCTGGTTGAGTGAGGAATGGAGACAGGGTATATAGACAACTCATTTGAACAGCTTGGCTATGAAGGATAAAGAAAAATGGGATGGTAGTGAGAAGGGTGTGGGATCAGGACAGTGTGTGATTGAAATATAGCGTGCGGCATTTAAGTGTGCGGTACACAGTTGGCTTCTTTCAGCACATATTTAAATTGACCTTTGGTGTCAGCTGCAAAAGGTTGGGAATTTCACTCACTCACCACTTTTTTCTGGTGACTTCTCCCTAAGTACCACCTGAACCATGAGTACTTTTAATAATTTTAAAGAAAAAATGTATGACCTACTTTACTCCATTTTAACATGAGTCTGATCACTTGATTCTCATATCTTTTCTTCCACAGCTAAGCTCAGATGCAGACTGTGGCCTGGGTTTGGGAGCTGGCATCAGTCATGCTAAGCTGTGAGCCACTCCTTTTTATTGTTCTTGAGTGGTGAGCTGTGTTGC